ACGTTTTCTTACATGAGAATGCAAGTTATGTAACAAGATTTCCACTTGATGAGTTAAGGGTTATAAGAGTATTCCAGTAAAAATCAGTCACTAATTATCTTTCAGATGAACTACGAGAGAATGAACTTTGTTGCAATATATTTTTAGGAATTTTAAAAAAGTTATCTAGAATACAAAAAGTCAGACACGAAATATGTAAACGAAAGTTTGGATCGAAAAAATCATTGTTGGAGAAGTCATTTTGGAATTTCAGTGTTAACTGTATGCACAGAATTGTTTAAACGGGGACATAGTAAAAGGTAAACAGTATACGTAAGAAAATTTATTCTCAGCATTATCTGGTTGCGGAAACAAGGTGCCAACATACAGTGTAGGCGGTTTCCAATTACTATTCCAAGACACAAACCTTTAATAACTCCAACAAGAATGAACTCCGCGAGCTAAAATATCATTTAAACTTAACTAAACGTCGTTTTTAACTGTGTACAAGGTATTATAGTGATAGGTGTACGGATTTCGTTTTTTCTTATGAAAATTTTTTTTAAATTGATTACGTGAAAATACACACTTATAGGATTTTACCTGAAGAATCGTTAGGAGTTGGTTTTTACATCAATACTTTCTCTTAATGATCATATTATGCAGATTTACACTTTCATAGATCATTTTTACGAAACTTTATTCGAACACTGAAGAAGTTTCCTCGAATGTGAAACAAAATAATTTCGTTTCTTTGTCTTTTGTACACTTGTCTAAGCTACTAGTGTTATAAATATCCTCAATCCACTGATAAGTGATTTATAAATTTCATGCTTGGAAAGCAACGACAATTTCTGTCATGCTAGGTCTATAACTCCTGTTGTCAGAATATTAAAAAATTTTAATGTTTAGTCGATTGTTCCGATGCTAAAGGTCAGACCGTTCACAGTTGTAACAAGCGCCATTTTTATTGGAACGTTGCTCGATCATTTCGTTCCCAAGAGCGCACCACATGTACCGAATTCAAATCGAAACACTGTTAATACGAATACACGTATCAAATGGTAACGAGCGAGTTGTGTTTCATCCTACGCAAACAAAACTGACTCGGGCAAATAAGATAACAAGTCAGGTGTCTCGAATTCGATGTAATCAGCAAACCATAGTCTTTTTATGATCGTCGCGGATACGTTATGCCCGGTGATTATTTGGACCTTTAGTAGCCCGAAAAAAAGGTGATACGTTACGATTTTTTTTTAAATAATGCAAAGAAGATACGATAAAAAAATTTGTAGGTGGTGCTAACGTAATAACGTAGAAAGTTAGTAACCAGTTTTAAAAATTCTTGTGGCATTTTTGAAAATTTTGAAGCATACATTCGTTTGTTATACACAATAATATACATAAAATTTCTTCCTTTTTTGCATGTTCTTGTTAAGACTCATACCAAATACAGCCATTACAATGATCTTTAGGCAATTTTGATTTCGGACTCTTCTACATTATCGCCAACTGCAATTTACCATGCTGCACGAATAATGAAACAAAAATTTTTTTAATAAAAAATACCAACAAACTTTTTTACCATATCTTCATTGTTTTCTCTAAGAAAAATTTCCTAACTGTCACCACTGTTTTCCGGTCGCTAAAGAGGAAATGGAGCCTTAACCACCAAAGACGACACGCTTTTAGTGCCATGAGTCGGGAAACAATAAAAAAAAGAAAAAAAGAAAAAGAAACATCTCTAGCCGTGCACAGGAAGCGCGGGAAAAAGGCAACTCTTTTAATCAAGGAAAAGGAATATTTAATTTTCTTAATGGATCGAGGTGATTCGTCGATGTTCGTGCTTTCCCGAAATCGACCTCGGCTATCCTTGAGACGAACAATCCCCGTCCATGTTTGATCGTGGCTTAACTGAGAGCCGTAATGAGTCTTGGCCAATTAAACCGCGGCTCCTATCTAAAGCCAAAAGCAAACTACGAACAACAGATAGAAAGAGAAAGACAGAGGAGCGTGCCAAAGGAGCTCTTTCTCCTTTTGCGAAACAAGATTCGAAAGGTTCGCCTGGGACAGCCAGCCAGCTCCGAGAATGTTTACTAGGGCAGAAAGATGCCAGATAAAAATCGTCTAATTAATAAAATACGGGCAGAGGTACAGCTCATAGCTTCTCGAAGATTCTTACTCGGTGACTAAATTTTCGTCGATTTCGCGGAACAAAATACACTATTCGAAAGAATTTAGGGATTAGTTTGTTAGATCGATATCTTGACCGTACAATAATAACCCTGTTAACACCTGGTTATATTTGTGTAAAAAAAACTAGTCAGGGATTATACGTCGTATTGACGTGCTGAACAATACAGGATCTTCTAATTGCTTGGAGCACTGTATTTTAGATATTTTTAGGCGAATTCAACTTGAGCTTGGCAGACCGCAAGTTTGTTACACAATGTGTGGTGTAATTATAAAACCACCCTAAAAAGTTTCAATTCTTATGTATTATAGTGAAAATAAAAACGAACCAAGTATGCTATGTTTGAAATCTTGTTGAGAAATAATGTTTCTTCAGAAAATGATAGATTCTATTCCCCGGAAAGAAAAAGTGATAACTTTCTATTTCAACCACAATACAGAAGGATTGAAAATTTTAAGGTGGTTTTATAGTTATGCCACGCAGTGTAGTTCGTAACAGTTGTTTTGACAGGATCATTGAAACGATTAAAAATTGTTTCCGGTTGTTTCTGACTGGTATCGATTCGATATCGATTATCAGGTAGAAACGAGAACTATAAAGATTCGAAAAAATTGCTTTTGGTTGCTCTTAACCGACATGAACCGATATTGATCATCAACTAACCCAGACCTAGAGCCTAACAAGTTCATTATTAACGTCTGAGAAGATACACTGATACGATGTAAGTTTCTATCAAAATATCAAAGTAAATTAATGTCAAAATATCAGGTGTACCAGTAAGTAATCCACTATGGTTTCAATAAACTGGCAGTAAAATTTAAATTTGGTATAACTTTTCTATCTTTAGTTTAATATAGCAGAGGGTTTTGAATTATATTGAAACAAGTACAGGATTTCACAAGAAAATAGGGGACTACTTACTGACACAGCTAATACATAAAACACAAAAATTAAAAATATTAAAATTAAGAGATTTACACAAACTGGACCTAACCAGTTTGACTCATGACTTATCTCGGTATGCCACAAATATATGTGTATGTAATATTGCATTTAAAATTTTTATAATTTTATCTTCAGTATTAAGAAACAACCAAAGCCCGTGCCGTATATTAGTTAAAAGTAGAATGTACAGCGTAATATTCAGAGCACGCATTGTGCTCCTTTCTGACTTCTTTAGTGCCTAATTAAGAAAGTATATTGTATTCAATGCAACATCGGCAATTTAATATGATCTATGACAAGCAATTTCGAAACCGAATGACGATCGTGTTCAAAGTGGATTCTAATTTATTCTGACGTTAATATTCGTCTGGAAACCGGTATTTTCTACGCGGTGAGAAGCATTGTTAAAATGATTCACAGTTAGTGTTTGGTGGAAAAGAAAAGAGCATTCGTTGCACATTAGCCGGAGCAAATACCGCAAGAAGCTGCAGTGACGAAGCAGTCTGCATCGGAGGGATAATTAGTTGTATGCAGCGGCGCACTGCGTGTTCGCATGGACCGGTATGTATACACAACTTGTCCAGAAAGTTCCCAGAATCGTTAAACAGGTTATTATATTTTTAAATATACCAGCGAAATTCATTTTTCCAACGAAATTCCTTTCTCCATTTTTTGATGACGTTTTATATCATTTCAGTACACGAACTATCGTTGCCTGAATTTCGACTACTGTTTGAAAACGTGTCCTTTGGTGTGCAATTATCATTTCAGAGGAGAAGAAAAAATACAAAAGCTAAGTTAGGGTTATCTGTCAGCTTGAGTTATATAAACAAAAGAACCGATTTTCTGATACGATTCTGTTTATCAGCCCCGTTACGTCTATTCATTGAAAATACTGACCACAGGCGATATCGACAATACTAATAAAAATATCTGATAAATCGATCAACAGAAGCAGACTTCATAAATACCTTCCCGAACGCGCTTTGCAACCCGCGATGAAATCGATAAATCATAAATAACCGTACAATTATAAGAAGCTGCCAATTATAAGAAATTATAAGAAAGTATACAATATATAATAAACTACTAACACTATACAATTATAAGAAATGTATAAAAACAGGTGTTCAAATTGTCGTAGGATTCGAAGAATGTGAGAGTACAGTAGCGTAGAAACGCTCAAGAACCGTCCTACGCCGAGCATCCCGCGGAAGATCGATTTTCATTCACCTTTAGTTATTGCTCTTTTATTTATACCACTCGACGTTAGATACTATTCTCATCATCGAACCGCCCGTATATCACAAACCGAACAGTTGCATCGGAACGGTTTCCGTCCAATATAATATTTCATACTTCCTGCGAGCGAGAGTTCATAAATGTCGGGATACATCATGCAGGGAAGTGTACAGGATCGACCTCGTTGGGAACGAAGCTTAAACCACGAAGTCGAGACAAGTATTTTGCACCGATCAGAAGAAAAGATTATTCTGGCTTTCCGGACAAACTGTGGCGAAGGAATCTGGGAGCAGTGTACGATGAAAGGACACGTTCGATGCAGTAAAATAATATCGTGGTGGGTTCGGTAGCGTGCAGCCGGCGGGCAGAAATCGAGGGGGGTAGGGCTCTGTGTGCGTCCGATGGTCCGTGGGTTCCCCCCTTTCCACGGTTAGGTCGGGTCGGTTCGTTCGCCACGCGCGACGTGCAGCGCAGAGGCAAGGCGTCGTACTTGGTTCTGCGTCGGCGCGGGGTTCCCTCGCGGCTGGCAGCGGTGTTGCCGGATCTAGACCTCTGTCGCGGGGAGAGCCAACCACGAGGAGAGGCGAGAGTCAACGGTGGTCGGATCGTCGGATCTCGCCAGTCAGTTTTTGCCTTTGACACGCGACGGATGACGCTGGTCGTGTCGCGATGCCCGAGTGTGTCATGTGACACGCGGAACGAGAGTAACTCTGGTCGCTGCGGCACACACACACACGCACGATTCACAGGGCCGCCGTACGCGCGTGGAGAAGGCGGAGATAAGAGAGAGACAAAGAAAGAGATAAAAGCCGATCGAGGACGATATCCCAGGATAAGGGTTACGAGAGGGGGTGTTCCTCTCTCTGTGTGTGTGTGAGAGAGGTGCGTGCGTGTGTGTCCTGTGCGTGTGGCCTTTGGCGTACGTCTCTCTGTACCACGAGCAGCTTGTATACACATGTTCCTCTCCATTCACGCGCCAAATAGTGTGCTTCGGTTCACGACCAACACGCGAAACGACGACAACCTAGACCCGCCGTTTCGTTGCCGTTTTACCCAACGGTGACCAGGTTTTTTCGCCCCGTTCACATCCAATTTTCGGGAACTCTATGTTACCGAAGTCTGTTCCATTAGAGAGCGCGCACAATTATGTTACCGGCTCGACACGGCTATAGCAGCAACACCACTGCCGCCATCAACGATACCAGCAATCTCGGTACATCCATAAGACACTGGGCCGGATTTTTTGCGAACGGTTAAAGATACGCACGGCGTCTCCTCCCTCCCCCACCGGTTACCCTCACCGTTGTGTTCCACGATCCTGAGACAGAGCGAGAAAGAGAGACAGGCTCTCGGGCGGTTTGTGGGCTGTCCACGATCCTCGGTAGGTAGGTAGGTAGTAATCAGAGAAAGAAACGTGCTTTTTCTACGAACGATCGATTCTCTGTTTTGTAGAATCACGTGCATTTTCGTTTAACTAGATGCCACGTGGTGCTGCGTGAGCATGCGAAAACGACGACCGTTGTTAGAATCGTAACGACTGTATCCGAAGGCTTTTGTGTTGTTGCTTTGACGACTTGTACCCGAGAGTGAAAGTGTCGATAGGGAACAGATTAAAAGTGTCGTTGCCTTCGACGTGTAAATAGAGATATACATACGTATACATATATCTACACACACAGAAAAATCGTCGTCGATTTGGATCTTTCGAAGATCACAGTTGTACCAGGAGATGGGAGTACTTGGTTGTATGCGTGGAATTCGTCACGTTACAGGTTATAGGAATGAGGGAGCGAGTTTTGGCGTCGGGCTCGTGGTGGTGGTTAATCGTTCTCCTCATAGCGGTGCAGCTCGTGGATACACAGGATCAATTGGTCGAACAATCAGGAAGCACAAAAGCAACGTCGTCGTCGTCGCGTGTACAATGTGCAACGGGTTGCCAGTGCGTGGACGATGGAAAGAGTATGCTTTGCGAGAAGCGAAGTTTCCTCGGGCTTGGTCTGCCGAGCCAGGCCGTGAACGTCGTATTGAGACACGTCGGTGCCGCTACCATACCGGTCGCGGCTCTCGAAGCTTCCGTGCGTCTGAAGAGTCTCGCGTGGACCTCGAGCGGAATCGAACGGATCGAGCCGGGCGTGTTTCGCGCGACAACGTTCCTCGAGCATCTGAACTTAGGTGACAATAGGCTGGCGGAATTGCCGTCGGACGTCTTCCAACCGTTGCACCAACTACAGTACCTGAATCTCACCGGGAACCGGTTAAACATCATACCGCGAGTCTTGTTCCAGGGTCTGGATCGACTCGAGGAGATCGGTCTGTCGCGTAATCGACTGTCGGTGCTTCCCTATCAAGCGTTCACCCCGGCGAAAGCGTTGGCCCGTTTGAATCTGTCCGGTAATCTGTTGGTGTCGCTGCCGGATCACAGTTTCAGGCCGAACAAACATCTGCAAGAACTGTGCTTGTCGTGGAACAGGCTCACGAAACTTCCGCCACGTTTGTTCTCCGGACTGACACGACTGAGGACACTGGAACTGGACCACAACGAAATCGACACAATACCGCGTAGTTTCTTCGCCGATTTGACTTCACTACAGTATCTCGATCTCTCTGGGAATCCTATCGGTCACTTGTCCAGCACCACGTTCCAGGGCCTCTCGAGTCTTCGATGGCTCAGCCTGAATCATCTGCCGATTACCGTGCTTCCGCAGGACGTATGGCGACCGGTCAGAAAGCTGCACACTTTGTCGTTGTCTGGCGCCAGGCTGGAGATACTTCGCAACGATGATCTGAAGGACCTGGAGGAACTGGAGACTCTGGAAGTTAGCAGAAGCCCGTTGCGCGAGATCTCTCGAAGGGCGTTCGATCGTACACCGGCCCTGCGTAAGATCGATCTACGGGACAGCAATTTGACCTTCCTTCCGGCGAACGTCGCGCAGCTGACGTTTCTGAACGAGCTGCAGCTGCAGGGGAACCCGTGGGCCTGCGACTGCCGTATGTTCTGGTTCGTGAAATGGGCACAGAGCAAGGAACACCTGCGGACCGCGTTCCAAAGCGGATTCCGGTGCGGCGACGAGATCGACGAGGTCGGCGATGTCTTCGAGACGCTTCGTTATTTGAACTGTACGGCGCCTTTGTTGACGTATGCGACCCCTGTGCAGCAGTACCTGTTGTTGCACTCGGTGCTGCTCGAGTGCGAGTTCAACGGGAATCCCACGCCGTCTTTGACGTGGGTCACACCGACGCTACGGGTGTTGCACTGGAATCCCGATCCGGCGTTTCCCGACGCGTTCGTCGATCATCCAGCCGTGCACGGCTGGGAGCAAAATGAACCGTACGTGGACGATGGTCGCGTTCGCATCCTCGAGAATGGTTCCTTGTACATCACGACGTTGCTCAGACAAGATGTCGGACAATACAAGTGTTTCGCGGTAAATCCGATCGCGAACGCGACCACGTATGTTAGCTTGCAGATGAATCCGGTCACGTTGCACAAAATCCAGATTCTCAGCATTCTGGTAGGGGCCGCGTGCGCCACGGCCTTTCTTCTCTTAACGCTTCTATTGCAGCTGCTTCGTTATCTATTGGTTAAGTGAGTATCCATTCTCTTTGTTATTCTGTCACGTTTCGATCGATGAAATCATGCACGTCACCTGGGGGCCGGTTGTATCATGTTCAATTAGCACAAGCCGGATGTTCTTTCTTTGTTTTTTTTTTTTGTCTCGTTCGTCGGTTCGCGTAAATAAAACCGTGTGTAGGCGGGTACTGTATCGTTCAAGCAAACTAAAGGCTCTAATAAAACGCCTGTTCTGTTTCTCGTTGCAGGTGCGGTTGTCTGAACTGGTGTTTGTGCTGCAGACATGTCGGTTCCACGCCCCGGGCCAAGCAAATTTATCAGATGCTGGACAGCATCGAGCAATACAAGAGCCTACAGCTGGAGAAACTGCGGGAGAATTACACGCAGCAAGTGCACAGGATAAGGGAGAATTGCGCTCAGCAGGTGGAATGGATACGCGACAACTACGAGGGTCAGATGAGGCATATCAGGGACATAAGAGACTACGGAACGAGCCATCTCACGGCGATCAGGGATCAGTACTACGATCAGGTAAAGGAATAACATACACCAGGACTTATCGTATGATTAATCTAGACTCTAGACTTTGTCCCCTAACATTACACCGCGATAAGAGATCACAAGACTGCGGATGTTTATGCGAACCTCAGATGCTTATACAACCTCTAGCAAACACTAAGAATGCAATTACTTCACAAACAATTCTGTCAAACATTACTAAATTCTTTATTCTAATTTACACTATCTAAATCACAATCAAAGTCCGCATAAGGATCCGCAGTCCAAGCCCACCACGAAGCCCCCGGGGCATCGTCTTACGAGTATCACAGAACGTTGTTTCTTCTTGTTCGAAAAAAAAAACAAAAAAAAAAACAAAACAGGTGAGGAAAGCACGGGACTACTCGACCAGCCAGCTGAACTGGGTACGCGAGAACTATGTCTTCCAACGTAACAAGATACGAAAGTTCAGCGCCCACCAGGTGTTGCGGTTGCGCGAGAGCTACAAGTACCAGCAACAGACGTTGAACAAGGTCTTGGAGAATCTGCCCAGCTTCTATTTCGACAACTGTCGCAGCGGATCATGCGGCAAGAGCGACTCGATGGTGTTCGATCCGAAGGAGGACGGACCATCCGTACGAGTGGACGCGTATTTCAAGGTGAAGATCAACGATCTGGCGAACGGCGCCAGCCTGGAGGACGTGAACAGCGAGTATTATACACCGACGGAATTCTCGTCGGTCAGCCCGCACGGTGGCGGTAACGTTTTGGATGGAATCCATATAAATTACATCGAGGACGGTCCACCGCCGCCATTGTGCAACGGGATGATGATGATGCCACATTCGATAATGCTGCATAGCATCGACGAGGACGGTAGCACGTTGTCGGTGTACAGGGACGCGGATCAGGCGAAGCCGGTGTTCCGCGGGATCAGCACCGAGGTGATGATGGCGAAACCGCCTAAACAGACGGCTGAGGTACTCAGCTTGCTAGCGCCCAGCACCAGTCTACCGAATCTACCACGCGAAACCAAGCTGTAAACGAATTGATTCGTTTCCGTGGAGTGTTTCGAGGGTACTAAACAATGAATGTAACAACACCGCTCGCTTCTCGTAGCGCGATTAACACGAGAATGTACTGCCACACACAAACAAACACTGGATCATTATATCGTGAGACGGAAATAATAACACATTTAGAAGTGCCTCTACATCGGTAAGTGAGGGATGGTATTCTCGCAACGAAAAAGCGGCGGTAACCTTTATTTCTTTTCTGCACGTGGGTGACTCTACGATGATGATGCTTTATGAAAACGCTTCGCACCGGGAATAGGACACGTACGTTATAATAACCTTCGAGAGAGAATTAAAGAACACACATATACCTACGAGCATCGACCCACACTCTGGGCTATACTCGAGATAAATATCGCGCGAGTGTGTGTGTGTGTGTGTGTCGTGTCGTGTACGGTAAATATAAGAGGAAGGTTGAACAAAAAAATTCGCGGACAGCTTTCAAGGACTCTTTTTCCGTCACCAGAACGATGACCTTGCAACCTGTCCGCCCCACCTTCCAGCTCTTGTTTATCCGTTATCGACGTCGTAATTGATAACGATCGACGATCTTATTCGAGGGGAGAGCGCTAGAGGGACTACCTGAGAGAGGATATAGTGTTACCACACCAAATCCAGAGCGAAAGTAAACGAGAATGGCGAGAGTGAAAGAGTGAGGACCAAGGGGGGAAATGCGTGGCCATTAACGGTAGCAATATCATGTGGCTGTCAACGGAATCGATCACCCTTTTTGAGGCTTACTGATCGATCCAGAGAAAGGAAGTTCTTCCTTCGGGTCTTGTAAATAAGAGTGCGTGCGATTAGACTCGGTCCTTGGGGAACGCGTCATTTTAACGAAAGACTGAACCGCGATCGGCATCGAACACGCTGGACATTTAACCGATTGGATCGTTGGTTCGATACTAGAGATACGGGTGTTTTTATTTTTTTAGATCCTGGCTCTTTCTGTCATTCTCTACCTCGAACCGATCGGAGAACACACGCAGGGCGACGTGTCCAGAGTTGGGGATTAATCGCTAATTTTTTCATCTATCTCTTTAACGATCTCTGGACACCATTCCCGATGATCTTTCAACCTATTTCCCTGTTTAGTGAAATGCAAACTTGTTCGAACAGTAGAAATATATAATTATTTAAAAAGAAAAAGAGAGACACTCCCTGTCATTTTGAGGGGCTAAAGGACGTACTTAATGTCATCGTAACATTATACCCATATATCCGCTACGAAATTCGACGTAAAAGCTTTGGCGATCATGCGACCCATCATCTCTCACAGGTTTCATCGCGACGAAGTAATTACGAAACGCTCAAGTTAGAATCGTATAATCGATGCACGGAAAAGTTCGCGATGAAGCTCAAGTTTTTACCTGGAAAAGGCGCGCGTCTTCCGGGATCAGCATCACGAACTTATTAAATCTCTTATTCGGTGGTAGAATTTATAACCGCGAGATGTGTAGATGCTTGAAAAAAGAAATACACGGTAGTTTTCATTTCAATTCGACTCGTAAAAATCATTGCTTGTTAATCGATGGGAGTAAATGGAAACAACCCCAGGCGACTCGGTCGAAACGATTCGACGGAGACGTGCCTACAGACCATTCGAGGGCGTTAAATAGAAGGAATATTCTGATCACGATAATCGTCGTCGCGAAGGTACGACAATGACTCTGCAATTTACCATTTAAATAGACCTAAGCTGTCTAGTCGGGAACGATTACGTTTTTTTTTTCTTCCCCCTCCTCCCTATTGTTAGACGAGTGCGCGTTGAAACCGAGTCGAGGAGCTTCTCTCGAAGATTCGATTGTGGTTTTCGACGAAAGAAAAAAAAAAGAAAGAAATAAGGGACCCGGTTATTGTACATTCCCGTTGAACAGTCTAACCGTGAGCTTTGTCGGAACAACGAGTTCGATATGTCGGGGCGGAAAATATATGTTTTTTCTCTGTGCGTTTCGTTCCGTAGGATGACAGCTTTACTCATTCAGATAATCTGTAATCTTTCGTCCGACTGGGGAAGAACTGCGGCTCGTTGCTATTTCAATTATCTATTCCGATCTTAACGGCCATTTATCTCTGTGTATAACGAGAGAGAAGGAGAGAAGGAGAGAGAGAGAGAGAGAGAGAGAGAGAGAGAGAACAAGAGGTGACGAAGAGCACAAGACACCACGCGTGGCTGCGAACCCGTAGTGAATTATTTTTCGACTGTGTGTGTGTGTGTGCGTGTGTGTGCGCGCGTGCGTGTGTGTGTGTGTGTGCGCGCGTGCGTGTGTGTGTGTGTGTGCGCGCGCGTGTGTGTGTGTGTGTGTGTGTGTGAGAGAGAGAGAGAGAGTAAGAGCGATGATTCCTGATTGTACGCGCGTGTGTGTGTGTGTGTGTGTGTGTGTGTGAGAGAGAGAGAGAGAGTAAGAGCGATGATTCCTGATTACGCGTGTGTGTGTGTGTGTGTGTGAGAGAGAGAGAGAGAGTAAGAGCGATGATTCCTGATTGTAAATCGCGTGGCGATGGATAACACTAAATATAGTATAAACATGAACCAAAGTTATGTAATTGTTCCTGAATTATGTCTACGTGTAGAGACTCGTTTCTTGCACGGTCGAAGGTACAAGGTGGCTGTTTGCACAATCCTCGGTTGCGGAGACCGTGAGGTCACTTTCAGGTTCTTTTTAATATTTTTTACTGCTATTGCCGACTAGGTGTAATTTTGCGACTATAATGGACGACGTAATTTCTTGTTCGAAGATAGACATCGATTTTTACGGTAAGATATTGTATGGAACGAATTTAGTCGGGATCTATGAGATTCAAGTATGTTAACCCTTTCATTCCCATTGTTGTCATATGGCTACCTATTTTAAATTATACAATAAAATGTTAGTGTCGTGCATTTTTTCAAAGCTGTGAGTATATATTTCCTTTAGTGTTGTATAGATGGTATGGCATAGATTTGAATGTACATTTAAAAAAGTTTATCGGTAAAATAAGACATTATTTGTCCTTTTTTTATTGATGGAATTCAGGTGTTGAGCATTGGTACAAGCTGAACGGAAACTTACTAAACCCTAATTTCTTTCAAGAGGATTTATTGATCAAGGGTAAGAAAAATTGGGTTTCATTATGTATAATAACACTATAATGGGAATTATTATTATATATATTTGTGATAATTGTAAAAAAGGTACTCAATGACTACGAATGAAAAGCGGCATTAGACGGTTTCAAAATGTTAAATTGATAGCAGAATATTTTTTTGGTAATTTTTAAATAATTTGGGAATGAAAGGGTTAAAGGAATAACTACCGTGATAAATTTTTGAATTCCTATATCATAAACAAAAATTGTTCGGACTGTTGGGAATTTTTATGCGTGCTAGTCTTTTTTAGCTCAATTTTCCTTTGGTATGGACAAAAGACACCAAAGACATGAGTTCCATGAAGTAGATAATAAGAGGAAATTCGATGAACTCTTCGTCTGGTGATGTTACTTGTTAGGCACGGATACAATTTTATTCGAATAATATTCTATAGTAGAAAGAAATAATATCTAGGAATTAAAGAATCCAACTAATTGATAAGCTTTTTTGTTGATAAAAATTGACGAAAAATGTGGAATATTAATTAAGTTGCTTTGCAATAGAATAATAAGCGAAAAAGCATGTGTTATGTAACATGTTTCAAAATACAAGTTTCATAATCTCGTTTTGTTCCTTTTCGAGCAGCATTTCGTAATACACAGAAGTAGAAAATAAATCTGTGATATGAATTAATCAAAATTAGTTGTTTTGAATTCGATGACATAATGAATATTCAAACAGGGTTGCATACAATACGTCTTATTCTGAACCTGGAATCCGATGGAACAAAGGTAATACACGTATTCTTACTACCTAATGCTATTTTTGTGTCGATGTTAAATGAAAACAAGCCTTAAGGAAGCTTTATTTAAGAAAAGGTTCTTTTTGAATTTTTCCTAAAATCTATTAATGCCCGAGTCTCCGCAGCCAGAACCAGGAAAAGAATATTTCTTATTGCATTCCTTTGAAAAACCCCTAGGCTTCTTAAGCCCTGTTCCCACTAAAGGAACACGAAGAAACTTTCTGTTACCTGTTGCTTACTGCTTCCAGAAAAGAGGAACTTATAATTCACAGAAGTAATATGTCTATACCAGGGCAACCCTCTCAGGAGTATTCTAGTTTTGTCCAAGGCATTGAATTAAACGCTCTCAAGTGGGCCACAAACTGATCTTATAAAAATTACAAGGGTCGACCATCGACTGAAAAACCTCCAACTGAAGCAATAAAATGTTCCACAAAGGGATTGTTTACAGTTGCTTCTATGACTACAGCTTCGAAATTTTATCATTCGAAATCATTTTCTGGTAAGTGGTAAAAAAAGCACGCACCTAATTTCACAAAAAAAAAAAAAAAACTCATTACATCTGTGCATAACAGAGTGAACATTATAATAAGATCTCGACGAAGTATTAATCTGCTGCTGATAAGTTTGTATAAAATAAATGACGATTTTGGGAGGATACTTTTGCGTGCGTTCAATTGCTACTCCCTCTGACAACGATACATTTTTAGAATAAACTACGTATAATTTCTGAATTGGATGCACCCCAATTCAAAGTGTATTAATAAAAGTTTTCCCTGGGACAAATTATAATTAGTAGACTGCGGATTTTATGCATTTATAGCATACATGATGGTCTAAAATTTAATGTATTAAAAAGTTTAATGAATTCTGGTACGGTTGTTATTTTTGTGTGTGTGGGGGGGGGGGGTTGGCGACAGAAACTTCACTACAATAAAAAAAATTTTGTTTAGTCCATAAATAAATCTATAACCTTCTAAAGAATGGGCGGATTTTTTCATAACTTTTTATATTTTCGCGTTAGAACTTTTATATATTTGTTATGATGTTATACTACGAAAACTAAGCGACCCCTCTGGAGCCTAATAATAATTCTCGTCCTCTAAATGTTAAAGATCCATATTTGCATAAACATTCGCAGTCTAGTAATTAATATTTCCAACTTATAGTCATTCTATGGAATTCTTAAATAAAGTATGCTGAATTTTTTCACCGTGATTTTGTTAAGTTCATCATTGAGATAAATTTATCAATAAACTACACGTCAGATGAAAACCAAGTTTAGTATAACCTTATAGCATACATAGACAAATGAAAATAATATACACATGGTTCATTAACACATTGCCGACCAATCGGAGAGATTTAGCCGTTTCACTTAGCGACACATTGTGCGCTTTTAGTATAGACATGATAAATGTGTTTCATTCTTGTGGTACATTTCTTATATTTACAATAACATCACCCAGTCGAAAATAAAATATGATGTTGATAGTAATTTTATGAATGCTTACATGCAGGGCGTGGCAATAAAATTTTGAGAATACTTTTCTTTCCTTCAAAGTGGACATAACAACTGTTTCCATTGTTCTCACGACAATATTCGATATATTTGTAAATTTGATGGTGTACCATCGTATAAACTAGTATGTTTTAAAAGTTACCGCATTAAAAAAAAATACCAAATTGTGTAACACATTTTTACTTTCGTGCATTTTATGTAAGTTACGATGATATACAGGATAATCATTATTTTATTACTTGAAACTACTTGCACACTTTATAGGTGCTTAAACTTAAGAATGTTACTACGCATACATACATAGAAAAATGTGATGTTTCGTGGAAACTATATTTTGAGCCCCTTTGACTACTTTATATTGACCTAAGTTTTGTCGTTAAGTTTTAATATTCTCTAAATAATGTTTCTTTCAAACCATCAAGAATTTCGTAATGCTTTATTACATTTACTTCATATTCGATAACTGTTCCAATACTTGTGAACGGGAGTATATACAGGGTGTCCCAAATCGATAGTACAAACCGCAACATGCATATTCCTCATGCGAATACAAATAGAAAAGTCCTTTACCGCTTTGTAATCTGAAGCTCCATTTCCAAGATATTAGCAATTGAACGATTTCCAATCAGCTGAGCGGTCGGACACACGTATGCGCGACCCGGCTGACTGGCCTTTGCGGCTAGACTGTCTACACATACGCGTGACCGACCGCTCAGCTGATTGGAGTTCGTTTAACTGTTAATATCTCGGAATTGGAGCTTCAGATTACAAAACGGTAAAGGACTTTTCGATTTATATTTGCATGAGGAATGTACATGTTGCGCCTTGTCCCATCATTTTAGGACACCCTGTATATAGTCAGGCACAATTCCTGCGGTCGACAATGTGTTGACACCTATTCCAATCATATACATAGAACTAAAATATTAGACGTATAATTTACGGCGACTTTTTTCCGACCTACTCTATATAAAATGTGTTACACCATACAGTGGATGAATACTATTGTAACTGTAACAGAGACAAACAGTAACCGTGTATCATGCTGAGACAGCCCATTTAGATTCTTCCAACCTAATAAAACGCTTGCTCTTATTCCTTCAGCAGATGCACATCAGCTCCGCGTGTAAACAATTTCCTTGTACCTCGACGACCCATGAAATAATGCAGCGCGTACGCTTCAACCCGTGACGTGTATGTGTACGGGAGTCTGCCAAAAATCGAGTGTCCAATTACGTTCCTACGATTCGTGGTAACGCGCGGCAGTTTTCAGTTTTCCTTCCCTTACTGTCCTATTCTCTCCAATAATTCCTAACACCGTTATTCCCCAATTCATCCGTCTGGCGACGCGTCGCAAGGTTTCGAGCCAACGAAAGGGGAACCCTGCTAAAGGTTGGTATACATATACAGGGTGATTTTCGCTCACTAGAAGCCCCAAAGAGAGTAGGTAGCCACATCGATTTTTTTCACAGGATATGCACGCATACCGCACAATTCCGTGACGCTAGCCGCTTACGACACAACGAGACCTTTCCGTTTCTTGTTGGTCGATCGGCAGATTGGGGTAGAACCAGCGAGCAGGGGTAGGTCGCAGTGTAACTGACTATTCAGCTGATTATCAGTATCCACAAGCTGAAATGTCGGCTCCGTAATCTTTGCCACAAATAGTTTCAGTCGATATTTCGACTTTCTATATGTAATATAAATGTAACGAAAGCACAATATGTACTTCTAATATTTTTTATCTAATACAAAATACACATCACAATAAGATATTTTAAAAATGTGTAAAATTATCTTCATTTGTAGAAAAAATGTGTCAATTTGAATAAATATCTTCAAGAAT